GACGGCACGTCATCATCGTGAGTGTGGTCGTTCGGTGGTGTGGAGCTGATCTGCACAGTGAGGGACATGGAGAGCAACAGGGGGGACGAGAGGTGCGGCAGACACACACACAGAGGGCACACCACATGAGGAGAGGGCAGCAGCCAGGCATGCACCGTACGCCGCACACCACGCACGACACACACTCCAATCCACGGCAACAGGCAAACACACACACGCAGCCCTGCCACAACACCAAAACACAGATGGAGGAGGGAGAAGCAAACAGGAGCGGCACACAAGGCTCCACCGCATGTAAATGCGGCGAGAGCGGTCCGTCGTGTCGGCACCCCTCACGGAGGATACACACACACACACGAGAATAGGTGCAGCGCCCACAGCAACACAACAGCAAAGAAACCATGAAAAGGAGAGATCCCCGCACACCACGTGGATTGTTGGTCCACGGGAAGTGCAGCCACCACCGCAGCAGCAGCACACGCAAAGTCAAGCGCAAGGAATGGAATAAAGCAGCCATTTATTCGTGTTTCTTTTTGGAGGGTGGAAGGTGTCTGCATATGTTGTTATTGTTTTTGCGGAGGGCAAACCTTCATGCCTGCATCGTGTGTTGGGGGTTCCTGCAGTGTGCACAACTGTTTCCTTCTCTTGTGAATTTTTATTGTGTTGGTGCAGCCAATAATTCAATTTGTGTTGTTTCCGCTTTTCGCTGGTAAAAGTGCTGCAATAGATGTTTTTATTTCCTCCTTCGTTGCTGTGGCACATGATTCCTCACCGTTTATTGCGGTGGAAATGAGAATATGTGAGTGGACTCCCACGCACCAGAACGCACCTTCGCTCCTATTTATTGGTGCACAGAAGGGCATGTGTGTTTGGTGGTGTCTCGACCATATATTCTTGTGGGCGTACATTCCCCTGCAGGCTGAGGGCGGGATGACGCTCCGTCGCGGTGCACTTCCCTCGCATGCCGCCCACTGTGATTCATCATGCATCACCCCCTCACACATTCCGTGGTGCCACACCGCTGATATTATTGCAGCCGCTGTGATTCCGCGTATTTCACGCATTTGACTGTGCCACAATACATCCGCTCGTGTGGCCGCCGCATCCAAACAGCGGTGCCCAACACCGTGAGCGGCAGTCCACATCCTTGCATGCCCCAACGCAGTGATGCTTGACTGTCAGCCAGGCGACACACAACACGAGAGTATTGTGCTGGCAGTACAACACACGGAGCTGCAGCGAATGACTCGGGCGGCGACGCATCTATTTGTCGCAAGGCAGTGAAAAGGAGTCGGGCAAAATAATGCCGGCTGCATGCACGACACCATATCCACAGCCAAAGCATGCGACGTGATGTGTGTTTCACTGGTGCTGTGAAATGCCTGCAGACGACGTCACTAGTGGAGGCACACCACCCATGATCAGCGGACAGACAATAATCGGCATGGGAGGCCACAAAAGGCAGCAACGACGCCAGCGGCAGCAGGAGCAGCTCTCTCTCTCTCTCTCTCTTTTGCCTTCGAGAAGTAATTATTCCACCAGCCACAGCCGGCTGTGCCATCGTGACACTCCATGCACGTCGTGGCTGCGTCAACACATCCTGCACCCTGCAGCGCCTCAAAAGATGCCTCACTCCGTCCACTAAGTGCATCGATGCGGGCCGTGCCTGGGCTGCTCGTCAGGACCACAGCGATGTGAGGGTCACCGAGTCGCAGCATGTTTGTTGTGACGTTGTTGCATGGCACCTGCACACACACGCGGCGCCTGCATCCCTCCCTTTTGTGTCCGCCCTCTGCCGGAGTGGCCACACACACGGGCAGCAGCAAATTCATTTCACCCTCGACGATCCAAAATCAACACGGACATCCCTCGCGACGCAAAGATCTCAGTTGCCAGCACGGGCCTCCTGCCGCTCTGCCATCGACGCCGAAACACGGCACAGTGCACGCACTTATTTTCCTCGTGTTCCGTCAGCCGTTTGTTTCACACATTCTCCGACGGGCTGACGCCCACAAAAGCACGCCACAAAAGCCACTGTGATCACACAAGCTCTTGCGATGAGCGTCTGTGTGTGCATGCATCCGCTGCTCACACGTGCTGGCAGGCAGCCTGCAGTCGGTGCCCTCGTGCCAGTCCATCGGCTCCAGCATGGGAAAGAGAAAATGGCCAATTCCTCGTGTACTTATTCCCACCGGCAGTGCCAACACGCTGGTCGTCAGCCGTCATTCCTCAGCACATCCAGGAATGCTGAAAAGTGACGTGGAACCGTCAGCCAGCAATGCCACAATCCCCGCACACATGTCGGCTCCACCAGAGAAGACACACAAACTACACACAACACCCCTCACATGTTTTCCAAACATCATTCCGACGCACCGCGACATGCCAAACAGAAGTATTCGTCACTCCATGCACATCCCCACACAATCAAAAAGCCCATGCACCACGCACGGCAGCAGCTCACACCCGTCTAAACAAGTGTTCCTCGGACCAGTGTTGTCCACGTGCTGCATTGGGCTGCCCCGGCTAAAGGGAGCTGCTGTCGGAAATATTGTTCGCGATCACTCACCCCAACGCGGCCGCCTCCCAGGTGATTGCGCAACCAGTGTTGGGCTCGACAGCACAGGCGCGGGAGCCCGCCGAGCCCAGCCAGCAGTCGCCCATCGTCAACGGTGTCGAACGCAGTCGAGATGCCGGTCGGGACTGCGAGAGAGCGGCGACGGCGACGGTGCAGCGCGGGACGCCGCCCCTGCGACGCTCACACTCCACAGCGATGCGCTCGCTCAGCCCTCGTGCCGTTTTGTCTCGGACAGGCGTCACAACGTCGGAGACCGTGCGTCGTGGCGTGGATAAAGGCTGACTTCGGTGGCGTGCCAGCAGCGCTGACAGGCGGCGGTGGACCAGTCCTTCGCTCACTCCTAGCAGGACAGAGAGCAGCGGGAGGGGCCGACAACTCTCCGTGCGGCATGCGTTCTTCCCGTGCTTGCGGGTGCGAGTAGTGTCCCCCGTTTCCCAGGAACTTCGCAGGCTACCGTCAGCAAGGGAGGTGCTACTCATCGTTCTGAGCGAGCAGCGGGCTGCGGGTACAAGATGGCGCAGCAACGCATTCAATACACCGCCGGGGCCAGATGCCAAGACAAGCGAAGAGTCGCGAAAGGACAATTCAAGCGCATACAGCGCGAAGGGCCAACGCATATCCCGGTCACCAGGGGGCACGCAAGCACGAAGTGTGCGGACAGCAGTGGGGATCGCAGCAAGTGGGATTCAGACGATGCGACGGACGAGCGGGTTTCACTGCTGCCGGATTTCGTCGGCGCTTACCAGCGCTACACATGTCGTCTGCGTGCCGTAAGTGACGCACAGAGGCAAAAGCTACTGCGAGGCGGAGACATTGAGCGGTGCCCGAGCCCCATAGCAGCACTCCAGATGACCGTTCCCTCACTGACGCCGGCCAAACTCGCAACAATAATGGCGTAAGGAGCAGACATGATAGCCATCCAGGAGACCCGGAATTCGTCGGAGCAGATCGCCAGCATGCATACTGGAGAGTATGTGCTCCATGCACAATCACGTATCCGCAAGGAAGGTGTTGCAGCGGCGCTGGTGAGGAAAAACCTCCGCTCCAAGCGTATGCCCCTCATCACTCCTCAACGTGATTCCAGCCTCGAAGTGGTGGTGGTCCGGGTCGCGCTGGGCCAGAACCGTGATCTTATTGTAGCGAGCACCTATATGAGACCACCGCCGCAACTCACACAACCTTTAGGCGGTTGCTGACTGCCTCTCGGTCTCTTCGCCGCTCATTTCGTGTGGAGATTTCAACGTGCGTCGCCCACGGTGGGAGCCCTTCCTGGAGACCCCTCCAAGCAACTCCGCTGTGGAATTTTATACAACCGCGCACAAATGCAGGACCCACCTTGGTTAACACCCCTGGTGAAACAAAGTATGCTCGTGCTGGAAGAGAGAGGTCCTGTATCGACCGGACATGGTCAAGGCATCTTACCGTGTCCGACTGGACAGCCAATGTGCCGCCGCTCAGTGACCACTATGTGTTGACATTCACGCTGCATCAGGCATTTAAGGATACCATGCCCTCGGCACCCACTTCGGTACGTCGAGTTTTCTACAGCTGGTGGAATTCCAAGTGGGAGTCCTTCGCCAACAACCTCGACGCACAACTTCCAGCATGCGACCATAAAAAGCAATCAACCGGCATTAAAGCTTTTACGAGAGCACTTGCAGTTTCACCTCGACGGCGTTGACCCCGCGGCATGCACAAGGATGATCCCAAGCTCCGGGGTGACACCCTTGCGAAAGCAGAGCGGATTGCTACCGACAGCAAGGCCCGCTGTCTGCAGTTACCGACGCCCGACCGTGAAGCAGAGACGCAACGGACAAGGAGCCAATTCTTCCTCCTACTCCGTGAGCGCTCACGCAGCAAATATCGGCGTCGCATCAGAAAGTTAAACCCAGGCAAAACACTCGCCTAAAAAAAACGATTCCGGACGTAAAAAGACATCAATTCCGTCTCCCACAACGGCGTTGATGTACGATGGCCGCAAGAATAATTTCAGGACAGCAAGGAGAGCAGCGGATGCGCTCAATCTTGGATTCCTCCCCACCTCGCAAGGCAATTGGGTTTTCCAACGGGAAATAACGGGGAAAACAAGTCTTTGTGTATTTCTTCTCCATTCCCTTCTTAGGCCGCAGAACAACAACGAGTCGGCCGCCTCATCTTCGATAGGTTCCTTCTCTCCCCTCTCTCTGGATGCCTCTTTTAATCAAGCGGAACTGCGTGCAGCGCTGCGTAGCACACCGTACGGCAAGGCCCCGGACCGGACGAAGTCTACAGTGAGGCGCTACGACACCTTTCGACGAAGTGTCTCCGATTCCCTCTCCGCCGCATCAACCACAGCCGGACAGCCGGCACGATTCCGGTCCAGTGGTGACGAGCCACCATCGTCCCAGTCCTGAAACCCGGTCATTCGCCGGCGCTAATGGAGTCATATCGACCAATCAGCTGTCCTTCCATCGTGGGTAAGGTTGCTGAGAAAATGGCATTGAGGAGACTGCTTTGGCTGTGGACGCCTCGTCCGCACCAGTATGCGTGCCGTAGTATGCGTACCACGACGATGCAGCTGGCACACCTGATAAACGAATTTGAGCATAACAGAAACGATTAATTCCAAGTGAACCTTCCCAGGAAGAGCGGTGTTGGAAGCCAGCTCCACTGCAGACCCCATCGGGCTCCGTTGGTGCTGGTAGACTCCAGCAAGGCCTTTGAGTTCATTGGTCATCGAGTCCTCAGTCGCTTGCCGGCCAATATTCCGGGGGTGAACTGTAGAAGGTGGCTTAGAAACTTTCTGCGTGGCCGCTACGCGAAGACACGAGTTGGCAACAGACACAGCGATCGGTCTTCCACGCTGCGATGAGTTCCTCAAGGGTCCGTATTGGGAACACATTTTTGTTCTCCCTTTACGCACACCCACCTCTCAATCTGCTGAACGGCTTCCCAGGCGTCACAGCAGACATGCACGCGGATGATCTCTCCATTGTAATCAACGGCCACTCTCGGGAAGACACCATTCCTGCAGCCAACACGGTCCCCAAAAAACTGCACGCGCGGGGTCAGTAAAATGGCCTGGCCATCAACCCGTCAAAGTGCAAAGCCGCTTGGCCCACACTCTCCACGCACACGGAGTCAAACTATGATCGTGAAGGAAAGTGGCCCCTGGAAGTGGCTGGATGTAAAATTCCAGTCATCACCATGGGGGCGTCGCGAACTACGAAGCTTCTTGGCATGGACCTCGATCCACGACTGACGCTAAATGTGGCGACCTCCAAGCACTGCGCGGCCACTTCGCAACGGCGATATCGCAGCTACGCCGCATTGCGCATAAAGAGGCGGGGCCATCTCCACATGACCCACGCACGTTCATCATCGGATACGGCGCATCAAAATTACGCTACGGCAGCGAGCTCATATGGGCAGTAGCGACGGATTCAGCAAAGAATGAGATGCAAAAGACGTACGCAACTCTGGCACGCATTGTCAGCGGAGTTCCGAGCACTGTCGACCAGTAATCCGCACTCCTAGAAGCAAATATACCGCCGCTCCATGTTGTCCGCCTGCGTGCGGCTCTCCATGTTTGATAACACACGCAATTGTCAGACGGACTGGAAGCGGAGACCTCCGCCTGAGCCTTCGCCTCGCGCAGGTTTCCGCATCCCGCCATTATCTCGGCACGAGCTATATGCCTTTCTAGACGCATACGCAAACGGCTACGGCATCACCGAGGACTCACCACGCGAAGGGCGGTTCTTTCGTGGCTCCATTCCTCCCTGGTCTGCGGCCTCCGCTCACCGGGTCACCATCGCTGTGGAACTTCCGATAGATCACTCGATCACCGACGAAAAAGAACTGATAAGGGAAATGCGCAGAGTCCGTAAAGAGGCTCCAGCGCCGCACAGCCACCGCTCGTGGATACTCGCAACGGATGGCGATGTCGACGTTCCCAATTCGGCAGGGGTTGGCATACCACCTTCATCCCTGCATTCCTCGCAGATAATAGAGAAAGTACGTAACAACTGCGGCACACGCCCTTGAAGCTGCAGGACGAAATCCAGTGCGCTGCTCCTGGCCCTGGAGAAGCTGATTATCCCTCGGATCCAGCACAGGCGTAAAAACCCCGCTTGTGGCGACACAAAGCCAGTCTCTCCTAGCGGCCCTCGACAAGGACCCGTTCCGCCAGACCGACTGGACGGAGGACCGGATCTGGCAGCGTCTCTTGACACTGATGCGTGCCGGCCGGTCCGTGCACCGGCAGTTTTGTTACGGACATTGTGGAGTGCATGTTGACGAGCCTGCGGCTCAGCATGCAACGCAGACCATGGCAAGCGGACAACACACGGAACATGGAATGGCGCCCATATGGCACACGGACCCGCTGACATGCCTTACTACCCAGCCCAGCAACAAGTGGCGTCGTACCATTCGCCAAGACACTCACCGCTACTCACTCTGTGGTGCCAGGAAGCGGTCTCTGCCACCGCAGGATCAGCCAACCTCCACAGGCACGCCAGTTGACCCGCAGGAAACCTTTCGCCATCTGCTTCTAGAATGCCCAGGCACCTCCGCTGCGCGCCAACGGCTGGGCATTGAGGAAGATCTACGCAGCGAAATGTTCTCTCAATGGCAGTTGCTTCATAGCAGGAAGCTTTTTCCGCCGCCCAACCGCCTCCTCGGCACTCAGATGGCATTGTATAGCTAGACGTGCCGGTAAGAGTACGGAAAAAATGATAATGAGCATTCTCGCCACCATCGGGTCGTGGCGCACCTTGCGATCTCGCTGGTGACCCTCCTGCTCCACTGCTGTTTTTGCGCAACAAGTCATCATCGTCATTTTTGTGGTTTGGTCGGCCTCGTGTTGCGCTCCGGGTTCTCCTCCTTCATCGTCTTGCGGTGTTTCCTTTGCCGTCCCTGGCACTGTGACTGTCCCGTGACGGTTTTTTCCGGAGCCTCACTTCCCTGGGAGGTCCTCCCGCCACCAGCGTGCCCTCCGCCCAAAGACTCCGGTCCATTTCCACGCATCTGAGCGGCAGAGGCGCTGCCAGTGCCGGACGGATTGCAATTGTTACTTCGCAGTGGGTCGCTGCAGGATTGATCCTGCCTCGTCGGAGCAGTGAGTGGTCCTGCGGGGGTGGGATTATGGCCCTCACCCGCCGTGCTTTCTCCACCCTCCTCGTCTTCCTGATTGCTATCAACCTCAGAGTTCACGTTCCCCTTTCGTCCAGAGCCACCGGCCACGGCCCTCCATCCGCAGCCATCACAGCCCGCGCTTGTTAAGCAGTCACCGCGCCATCACCAGCGGGCCCCACACACACACCGTCGCAGTAGCCGTCGAAAACACGCACGAGCTGTTGCACATCACTGCAGGAGCCAACAGGACGCAGAGCACACGGCCAGTCATCATCACAAACAGTGGAGTCGCCCAACGCTGTGGAGCCGACCTGCAAAAGCACAGAAAACAAAAGAAGAGACACGGCCGCTACACCATGCACAGCCACCGCACAGTCACAAATGGCAGCAGCCCAGCAGCGGCAGCGCACACACACCATGAGGCAGTTGGAACCAGTGAAAGGGCGAAAACACACAACGCCCCGCAGCAAGCAAACAGAAAACACACAAAACAATTAGAAACAAAACACAGCTAAACAAACAGCAATGAAGTAAAAAATGTGAACACACACAAAACAAAGGGCTGCACAGTATGGCTCCAGCGCGCACGCACCCATCCTCAAATGCGACTCCACGCAAACAGTTGTGTGCGTGCCATGCATATGAGTGTGTCTGGGGTGCGTTCAACGTGACGGATGCGGGGAGCGGCAAGGAGCACACAGCAGGGCAGCGGAAGCAAGTGAAGCAAAACACAATCATTAGTTTATCCTGTTTAGTACATCGGACCACAGTAGACGCACACAAGTCCCCGCGGTTGAGTGCTGGCACGCACAGCCCGCACACAATTCTTCAGCCCAGAGTGGTGTACGCCAGCGCGGATACGGCAAGAACCAGCGGGGCACACACCCACGCAGAGCTGCTGACGCTGCCGTCGATTTCGCGAAGACGTGACGGTGCGCGGGTGATCGTTGTGGTTGGCGCCTCTGTGGTGGTAGTTGGCGCCTCCGTAGTCGTAGTACTTGGTGCCTTTGTTGTAGTGGTCGTCGTCGTGGTTGTCGTTGTTGTGGCTGGTGCATTCGTCGTATTCGTCGTGGTCGTATCCGGTTTATTTAACGGATCGGTCTCACCTTTTGCCTGATCCGCACCGGTCGAAATTTGTAAACCTGACCGACCAGTCGCCCCACTTATTGCCTGTTCCTGTCTTGGAATAGACCCCGGACTTGGTGTATCTGGACTCCCTGGCACACCGGTTCCCGCACTTGATCCTTGTGATGTGGGGTTCACACTTTGTGTCTGTCCAGTACTGGACGTACTTTGCGACTCTGTCCCATCGCCCCCGGAAATCGGTGCCAGTGGCTGAGCAGCCGTTGAACCGTTGACCCCATCTTGTTCTTCACCAGTCCCTGTCACGCACACGGACGGGCAGCAGCACAGGGCAAGCACCAACAGGGCGCACAGCAGACGGCACGTCATCATCGTGAGTGTGGTCGTTCAGTGGTGTGGAGCTGATCTGCACAGTGAGGGACATGGAGAGCAACAGGGGAGACGAGAGGTGCGGCAGACACACACAGAGGGCAAACCATACAAGACGAGAGAGCAGCAGCCAGGCATGCACCGTACGCCGCACACCACGCACGACACACACTCCAATCCACGGCAACAGGCACACACACACACACACGCAGCCCTGCCACAACACCAACACACAGATGGAGGAGGGAGAAGCAAACAGGAGCGGCACACAAGGCTCCACCGCATGTACATACGGCGAGAGCGGTCCGTCGTGTCTGCACCCCTCACGGAGGATACACACACACACAAGAATAGGTGCAGCGCCCACAGCAACACAACAGCAAAGAAAACATGAAAAAGGAGAGATCCCCGCACACCACGTGGATTTTTGGTCCACGGGAAGCGCAGCCACCACCGCAGCAGCAGCACACGCAAAGTCAAGCGCAAGGAATGGAATAAAGCAGCCATTTATTCGTGTTTCTTTTTGGAGGGTGGAAGGTGTCTGCATATGTTGTTATTGTTTTTGCGGAGGGCAAACCTTCATGCCTGCATCGTGTGTTGAGGGTTCCTGCAGTGTGCACAACTGTTTCCTTCTCTTGTGAATTTTTATTGTGTTGGTGCAGCCAATAATTCAGTTTGTGTTGTTCCTGCTTTTCGCCGGTAAAAGTGCTGCAATAGATGTTTTTATTTCCTCCTTCGTTGCTGTGGCACCTGATTCCTCACCGTTTATTGCGGTGGAAATGAGAATATGTGAGTGGACTCCCACGCACCAGAACGCACCTTCGCTCCTATTTATTGGTGCACAGAAGGGCATGTGTGTTTGGTGGTGCCTCGTCCATATATTCTTGTGGGCGTACATTCCCCTGCAGGCTGAGGGCGGGGTGACGCTCCGTCGCGGTGCACTTCCCTCGCATGCCGCCCACTGTGATTCATCATGCATCACCCCCTCACACATTCCGTGGTGCCACACCGTTGATATTATTGCAGCCGCTGTGATTCCGCGTATTTCGCGCATTTCATTGTGCCACAATACACCCGCTCGTGTGGCCGCCGCATCCAAACAGCGGTGCCCAACACCGTGAGCGGCAGTCCACATCCTTGCATGTCCCAACGCAGTGGTGCTTGACTGTCAGCCAGGCGCCAGACAACACGAGAGTATTGTGCTGGCAGTACAACACACGGAGCTGCAGCGAATGACTCGGGCGGCGACGCATCCATTTGTCGCAAGGCAGTGAAAAGGAGTCGGGCAAAATAATGCCGGCTGCATGCACGACACCATATCCACAGCCAAAGCATGCGACGTGGTGTGTGTTTCACTGGTGCTGTGAAATGCCTGCAGACGACGTCACTAGTGGAGGCACACCACCCATGATCAGCGGACAGACAATAATCGGCATGGGAGGCCACAAAAGGCGGCAACGACGCCAGCAGCAGCACTCTCTCCCTCTCGCTCTCTCTGTTGCCTCCGAGAAGTAAATATTCCACCAGCCACAGCCGGCTGTGCCATCGTGACACTCCATGCACGTCGTGGCTGCGTCAACACATCCTGCTCCCTGCAGCACCTCAAAAGATGCCTCACTCCGTCCACTAAGTGCATCGATGCGGGCCGTGCCTGGGCTGTTCGTCAGGACCACAGCGATGTGAGAGTCACCGAGTCGCAGCATGTTTGTTGTGACGTTGTTGCATGGCACCTGCACACACACGCAGCGCCTGCATCCCTCCCTTTTGTGTCCGCCCTCTGCCGGAGTGGCCACACACACGGGCAGCAGCAAATTCATTTCACCCTCGACGATCCAAAATCAACACGGACATCCCTCGCGACGCAAAGATCTCAGTTGCCAGCACGGGCCTCCTGCCGCTCTGCCATCGACGCCGAAACACGGCACAGTGCACGCACTTATTTTCCTCGTGTTCCGTCAGCCGTTTGCTTCACACATTCTCCGACGGGCTGACGCCCACAAAAGCACGCCACAAAAGCCACTGTGATCACACAAGCTCTTGCGATGAGCGTCGGTGTGTGCATGGATCCGCTGCTCACACGTGCTGGCAGGCAGCCTGCAGCCGGTGCCCTCGTGCCAGTTCATCGGCTCCAGCATGGGAAAGAGAAAATGGCCAATTCCTCGTGTACTTATTCCCACCGGCAGTGCCAACACGCTGGTCGCCAGCCGTCATCCCTCAGCACATCCAGGAATGCTGAAAAGTGACGTGGAACCGTCAGCCAGCAATGCCACAATCCCCGCACACATGTCGGCTCCACCAGAGAAGACACACAAACTACAAACAACACCCCTCACATGTTTTCCAAACATCATTCCAACACACCGCGACACGCCAAACAGAAGTATTCGTCACTCCATGCACCTCCCCACACAATCACATAGTCCATGCACCACGCACGGCAGCAGCTCGCACGTGGTCAAACAAATGTTCTTCGGATCAGTGTTATCCACGTGCTGCGGTGGGAAGTAAACAAAAGAGACGAGCTGCCAAACCCCAAAAGAGTGCAACGAATGGCCGCAAGTCAACGGAACGCTGCCACTCAAAACAATTCAGTCCTCATGCCCTCAGCCTCCCACCTTCTCCCACAAAAGCCCCAAGTGCTGCCAATCAAGCGCGCCGTCCAAAGAAGTCGCTGTGCAACACCAGGAGGAATCGCAGTGCCACCTGCTGCCATCCGGGTCCGTTGTGGACGCCATGATGAGTAGAAACGCCCATTGGTGCTTCGAAACGACGCTGCACACCTGCGACGCATCATACGGTTTGAGACGCACGTGCCTCACCAGCACCACAAACGCCCACGCGCCGTCGGTACGCCCTACATCGTCAAGGAAACAAAGGATACGTCAGGGTGGCAGCAAAGCACTCGCTGGCAATTCCCGTCGCAGGCATCATCACAAGCAGCTCCAGCAGCGCTGCAGACCGTGGGGTGCCGTGGATCAACTCACGCATGGCGTATGTGGAAAAGAAAGGACGTGGTGGCTTTACAAGGATACGAGTGGCTGACACTTTTAGAACAAGAAAGAAAACAATGTGAGAACACACAAGGAGGAATCAGGCGTCCGCAGTCAAAGCAAACCAGCAATCAAAAAAAGTAGGATGGGTGCACTCAACCACAACACAGGCAGAGGATAAAAAATACCAACAACAAAAGCCGAAGCGTGGGGGCGTCCACCCAGCAGAGGGGACGCGCAGCAACAGGTGGGACGACCAGCGCACACACTCTCATTGCTCCCGTAAAGCAAAACACAGACACACACAGGGAGAGAGAGAGAAAGGTCGCCCACTCAATGCAATAGAAACAAAACAGTTACGGTGCTCCACCCATGCAGCCAGGCAGGACGGCAGCGGTGCGTGTCGTGCAAAAGAGAGCACCAACGGGCCTGCATGGGTGTGCATGCATATATACAGTGGTCACATTATGTGTGTGCTTCGTGGGGTGAGGTGAGGGCGAGAGTCCATGCAAGGGGACACACACACAGAGAGAAGGACGAGTGTGTGTGCGGGCGGTGCATGGCGCTCTCTCACTCACCCTCACGCAGCCACCACCGCAGCCGCAGCCGCACACGCAACAACAAAAAGAGGGGAGGTGGTGTGGGAGACCGCGGTGCTGCCGTCACTGCTGCCAGGCGTTGCCGTACCATCTGTTCTGGCGGTAGCTGCTGCTTTCGCTGTCCGTGGTTTTGTCTCACTGGCTGTGGGCGCAACGTTGGTATGACTGGCTTCGGGGTCGTTGTGTGTTTCTTTATGATTGGGCCCTTTGCTGTTGTCGTCATTCCCATCCGCCTTACTCTGGCCATCACCACTGCCACTTGTAGAGTTGGATGATGCCGTTACTTCCGCCGGGCTGCCGGTAGGTCCACCCTTCAGATCCGGTAAAACAGTGCCTTGACCCTGTTGCTCTGCCACACCATCTCCAGAAGTAGGCTCCGTCTCTTCAGGCTCCTTTTTGTTTGGTGACGGTGACGTTTTTGTCCTTTCTTCTGTCAAAGTTTGCGAGCCTGTTTGTGCTGTTGGGCTTCCTCCTGCCGGAACTGCCACTGCTGTTGGTCGTTCTTCTCCTACCGTTGCTGGCGCTGGCGGTGGTAGTGGCGGGCTGCTGGCGGTGGAAATCACGGTGGAAGGACCTTGTGCCTCCGCGTCACTCCGCCGTTTCTCGTCTCCAGTTGCAGCCCTACCAGCAGCTTCACTTTCTGGTTTTTCTTGTTTACTGGGAGAGTCTTCTTGTGCTTCGGGTGTTGACTCCGCTGGTGCCGACAATTTGGCAATTCGTTCCGTGCACGATTTGCTTCTGACTGCTCACCTGCTTCTTGAGGTTTCCTTCCCTTTGTGGATGCCGCAGCGCCGGTCTTCTCCAAGGCATCACTCTCGTCGGTGATGGAGGGTGGGGAATTACCACCAGCAACAGGAGCGCTCAAAGATGCATCACCACCTGGACTGCCAACATCAGGTTGACTGCGACCACCAGAAGAAAAGGAAACCAAAATGAAACTTTTGCTTCCGTCAGAACCTACACCTCCTGTAGGAGCCCCAGGAGAACTGCCACCATCACCGAGAACAGGAGATGGGGACTTGACATCCGAAGCAGGGGAGTTCAAAGAGCCACCAACACGTGATTTGGAACCTCCATTTGAGCCACCACCACCGCCACCAGAAGCCTTGCTGCCACGAGCTTGACTGCCACTGGCACCCCCAACGCCACCAGGACCGCCAGCATCGTCGTCTCTACCGCCTCCACCTTCACCTCCGCGACCAGGAGGAGAACCGGCACCACCGAAATCAGCACCTGAAGTTGGAGCTAAATCCGATTTATTTTCTGCTGTACCAGTCACCAATGGGTCAGTCGAAGCTTCAACGGCAGTGATGGACAAGACAGATCGTAAAGGCAGCGTCAGCGCAGTTTTGTCACATCCGCTCGGCGTGTACGATTTATTCGTATTCAACACTCCCGACGCCATGCAGCCGCCAACTGCGTTGTTCTCGAGATCACTCGCATCAGCCCCGCCGGCACCGCACCACAGCACGCAGAGAGCACACACCAGCAGCACACGGCCAGTCATCATCATCACCATCACTCCTGTCACTTGCCTGCAGCCTTCAGCACAAACTAACTCCCCGTCAACGCAGAGCGGAAGCAAAATGAGGGACACGGCCGCTACACCACGCACAGCCACCGCACAGTCACAAATGGCAGCAGCCCAGCAGCGGCAGCGCACACACACCATGAGGCAGTTGGAATCAGTGAAAGGGCAAAAACACACAACGCCCCGCAGCAAGCAAACAGAAAACACACAAAACAATTAGAAACAAAACACAGCTAAACAAACAGCAATGAAGTAAAAAATGTGAACACACACAAAACAAAGGGCTGCACAGTATGGCTCCAGCGCGCACGCACCCATCCTCAAATGCGACTCCACGCAAACAGTTGTGTGCGTGCCATGCATATGAGTGTGTCTGGGGTGCGTTCAACGTGACGGATGCGGGGAGCGGCAAGGAGCACACAGCAGGGCAGCGGAAGCAAGTGAAGCAAAACACAATCATTAGTTTATCCTGTTTAGTACATCGGACCACAGTAGACGCACACAAGTCCCCGCGGTTGAGTGCTGGCACGCACAGCCCGCATACACCTCTTCAGCCCAGAGTGGTGTACGCCAGCGCGGATACGGCGAGCAGCAGCGGGGCACACACCCACGCAGAGCTGCTGAGGCTGCCGTCGATTTCGCGAAGACGTGACGGTGCGCGGGTGGTCGTCGTAGTTGGCGCCTCCGTAGTCGTAGTGGTGGTGGTAGTTGGTGCTTTTGTCGTAGTAGTGGTTGTTGTTGTTGGCGCATGTTCCTTCTGACTTTGTGCCGTTACCGTACCGGTCACGGAACTTGACGATGTATTTGGGTTAATTGACCCACCTGACGACCCTGACCCATCGGACCCACCTGGTCCCTCTTCCTCTTTTGGAATAGACTCCAGAGTTGCTGTATCTGGACTCCCTCGTCCACCGGTTCCCGCACTTGATGCTTGTGATGTGGGGTCTCCACTTTGTGCCTGTCCAGTACCGGCCTGTGTCAGCGATCCTGTCCCACCGGTCCCGGAAATCGTTGCCTGTTCCTGTGCCTTTTCAGTCGGTTCCGCTGAGTCTGGCGCACTGGCCGCTGTACTTAGTTCCTGTCCATCACGGTTCGCCGCATCTGCTGCCCTTTGCGAACCGGGCGTACCATTTGGCTGATCCGCACTTTTCCCCTTAATCCCTGGCGTACCGGCCCCCTGACCCTTTGAACCTACCGTGACGGTCGGACGTGAACTCCCTGACGGAGCGTGTCCATTGCCGTCCGAATTTTGGGGTCCCGGTAACGCATCGGCCAGACCTGTTGAACTTGGCTTCGTGGACGTATTTTCTGGCCCCGGAACACCTGCTCCCGGTGGCTGAGCAGGCGATAAACTGGGGCTGCCCTCTGTCACGCACACGGACGGGCAGCAGCACAGGGCGAGCACCAACAGGGCACACAGCAGACGGCACGTCATCATCATCGTGAGTGTGGTCGTTCGGTGGTGTGGAGCTGATCTGCACAGTGAGGGACATGGAGAGCAACAGGGGAGACGAGAGGTGCGGCAGACACACACAGAGGGCAAACACACAAAAGAGGGCGGCAGCCAGGCATGCACCGTACGCCGCACACCACGCACAACACACACTCCAATCCAAGGCAACAGGCACACACACACGCAGCCCTGCCGCAACACCAACACACAGATGGAAGAGGGAGAAGCAAACAGGAGCGACACACAAGGCTCCACCGCATGTACACACGGCGAGAGCGGTCCGTCGTGTCTGCACCCCTCACGGAGGATACACACACACACACACACACACGAGAATAGGTGCAGCGCACACAGCAACACAACAGCAAAGTAACCATCGAAAAAGGAGAGATCCCCGCACACCACGTGGATTGTTGTTCCACGGGAAGCGCAGCCACCACCGCAGCAGCACACGCAAAGTCAAGCGCAAGGAATGGAATAAAGCAGCCATTTATTCGTGTTTCTTTTTGGAGGGTGGAAGGTGTCTGCATATGTTGTTATTGTTTTTGCGGAGGGCAAACCTTCATGCCTGCATCGTGTGTTGGGGGTTCCTGCAGTGTGCACAACTGTTTTCTTCTCTTGTGAATTTTTATTGTGTTGGTGCAGCCAATAATTCAGTTTGTGTTGTTCCTGCTTTTCGCTGGTAAAAGTGCTGCAATAGATGTTTTTATTTCCTCCTTCGTTGCTGTGGCACCTGATTCCTCACCGTTTATTGCGGTGGAAATGAGAATATGTGAGTGGACTCCCACGCACCAGAACGCACCTTCGCTCCTATTTATTGGTGGACAGAAGGGCATGTGTGTTTGGTGGTGCCTCGTCCATATATTCTTGTGGGCGTACATTCCCCTGCAGGCTGAGGGCGGGGTGACGCTCCGTCGCGGTGCACTTCCCTCGCATGCCGCCCACTGTGATTCATCATGCATCACCCCCTCACACATTCCGTGGTGCCACACCGTTGATATTATTGCAGCCGCTGTGATTCCGCGTATTTCGCGCATTTCATTGTGCCACAATACACCCGCTCGTGTGGCCGCCGCATCCAAACAGCGGTGCCCAACACCGTGAGCGGCAGTCCACATCCTTGCATGTCCCAACGCAGTGGTGCTTGACTGTCAGCCAGGCGCCAGACAACACGAGAGTATTGTGCTGGCAGTACAACACACGGAGCTGCAGCGAATGACTCGGGCGGCGACGCATCCATTTGTCGCAAGGCAGTGAAAAGGAGTCGGGCAAAATAATGCCGGCTGCATGCACGACACCATATCCACAGCCAAAGCATGCGACGTGGTGTGTGTTTCACTGGTGCTGTGAAATGCCTGCAGACGACGTCACTAGTGGAGGCACACCACCCATGATCAGCGGACAGACAATAATCGGCATGGGAGGCCACAAAAGGCAGCAACGACGCCAACAGCAGCAGGAGCAGCTCTCTCTCTCTCTCTCTCTTTTGCCTTCGAGAAGTAATTATTCCACCAGCCACAGCCGGCTGTGCCATCGTGACACTCCATGCACGTCGTGGCTGCGTCAACACATCCTGCTCCCTGCTGCGCCTCAAAAGATGCCTCACTCCGTCCACTAAGTGCATCGATGCGGGCCGTGCCTGGGCTGCTCGTCAGGACCACAGCGATGTGAGGGTCACCGAGTCGCAGCATGTTTGTTGTGACGTTGTTGCATGGCACCTGCACACACACGCAGCGCATGCATCCCTCCCTTTTGTGTCCGCCCTCTGCCGGAGTGGCCACACACACGGGCAGCAGCAAATTCATTTCACCCTCGACAATCCAAAATCAACACGGACATCCCTCGCGACGCAAAGATCTCAGTTGCCAGCACGGGCCTCCTGCCGCTCTGCCATCGACGCCGAAACACGGCACAGTGCACGCACTTATTTTCCTCGTGTTCCGTCAGCCGTTTGCTTCACACATTCTCCGACGGGCTGACGCCCACAAAAGCACGCCACAAAAGCCACTGTGATCACACAAGCTCTTGCGATGAGCGTCGGTGTGTGCATGGATCCGCTGCTCACACGTGCTGGCAGGCAGCCTGCAGCCGGTGCCCTCGTGCCAGTCCATCGGCTCCAGCATGGAAAAGAGAAAATGGCCAATTCCTCGTGTACTTATCCCCACCGGCAGTGCCAACACGCTGGTCGCCAGCCGTCATTCCTCAGCACATCCAGGAATGCTGAAAAGTGACGTAGAACCGTCAGCCAGCAATGCCACAATCCCCGCACACATGTCGGCTCCACCAGAGAAGACACACAAACCACACACAACACCCCTCACATGTTTTCCAAACATCATTCCGACACACCGCGACATGCAAAACAGAAGTATTCGTCACTCCATGCACCTCCCCACACAATCACATAGTCCACGCACCACGCACGGCAGCAGCTCACACCCGTCTAAACAAGTGTTCCCAGGACCAGTGTTATCCATGTGCTGCGGTGGGAAGTAAACAAAAGAGACGGGCCGCCAAACCCCAAAAGAGTGCCACAACTCGCCACAAGTCAACGGAACGCTGCCACTCAAAACAATTCAGTCCTAATGCCCTCAGCCTCCCACCTTCTCCCACAAAAGCCCCAAGTGCTGCCAATCAAGCGCGTCGTCCAAAGAAGTCGCTGTGCAACACCAGGAGGAATCGCAGTGCCACCTGCTGCCATCCGGGTCCGTTGTGGACGCCATGATGAGTAGAAACGCCCATTGGTGCTTCGAAACGACGCTGCACACCTGCGACGCATCATACGGTTTGAGACGCACGTGCCTCACCAGCACCACAGACGCCCACGCGCCGTCGGTACGCCCCACATCGTCAAGGAAGCAAAGGATACGTCAGGGTGGCAGCAAAGCACTCGCTGGCAATTCACGTCGCAGGCATCACCACAAGCAGCTCCAGCAGCGCTGCAGACCGTGGGGTGCCGTGGATCAACTGACGCATGGCGTATGTGGAAAGAAAAGGACGTGGTGGCTTTACAAGGATACGAGTGGCCGACACTTTTAGAACAAGAAAGAAAACAATGTGAGAACACACAAAGAGGAATCAGGCGTCCGCAGTCAAAGAAAACCAGCAAACAAAAAAAGTAGGATGGGTGCACTCAACCACAACACAGGCAGAGGATAAAAAATACCAACAACAAAAAGCCGAAGCGTGGGGACGTCCACCCAGCAGTGGGGACACGCAGCAACAGGTGGGACGACCAGCGCACACACTCTCATTGCTCCCGTAAAGCAAAACACACACACAGGGAGAGAGAGAGAGAGGTCGCCCACTCAAAGCAATAGAAACAAAACAGTTACGGTGCTCCGCCCATGCAGCCAGGCAGGACGGCAGCGGTGCGTGTCGTGCAAAAGAGAGCACCAACGGGCCTGCATGGGTGTGCATGCAATACATACAATGGGCACATTATGTGTGTGCTTCGTGGGATGAGGTGAGGGCGAGAGTCCATGCAAGGGGACACACACAGAGAGAAGGACGAGTGTGTGTGCGGGCGGTGCATGGCGCTCTCTCACTCACCCTCACGCAGCCACCACCGCAGCCGCAGCCGCACACGCAACAACAAAAAGAGGGGAGGTGGTGTGGGAGACCGCGGTGCTGCCGTCACTGCTGCCAGGCGTTGCCGTACCATCTGTTCTGGCGGTAGCTGCTGCTTTCGCTGTCCGTGGGTTTGTCTCACTGGCTGTGGGCGCAACGTTGGTATGACTGGCTTCGGGGTCGTTGTGTGGCCCTCTGGGGTTGGGCCCTTCGCTGTTGTACTCATTCTCATCCGCCTTACTCTGGCCATCACCACTGCCACTTGTAGAGTTGGATGATGCCGTTACTTCCGCCGGGCTGCCGGTAGGTCCACCCTTCAGATCCGGTAAAACAGTGCCTTGACCCTGTTGCTCTGCCACACCATCTCCAGAAGTAGGCTCCGTCTCTTCAGGCTCCTTTTTGTTTGGTGACGGTGACGTTTTTGTCCTTTCTTCTGTCAAAGTTTGCGAGCCTGTTTGTGCTGTTGGGCTTCCTCCTGCCGGAACTGCCACTGCTGTTGGTCGTTCTTCTCCTACCGTTGCTGGCGCTGGCGGTGGTAGTGGCGGGCTGCTGGCGGTGGAAATCACGGTGGAAGGACCTTGTGCCTCCGCGTCACTCCGCCGTTTCTCGTCTCCAGTTGCAGCCCTACCAGCAGCTTCACTTTCTGGTTTTTCTTGTTTACTGGGAGAGTCTTCTTGTGCTTCGGGTGTTGACTCCGCTGGTGCCGACAATTTGGGCAATTCGTTCCGTGCACGATTTGCTTCTGACTGCTCACCTGCTTCTTGAGGTTTCCTTCCCTTTGTGGATGCCGCAGCGCCGGTCTTCTCCAAGGCATCACTCTCGTCGGTGATGGAGGGTGGGGAATTACCACCAGCAACAGGAGCGCTCAAAGATGCATCACCACCTGGACTGCCAACATCAGGTTGACTGCGACCACCAGAAGAAAAGGAGCCCAAAATGAAACCTTTGCTTCCGTCAGAACCTACACTTCCTGTAGGAGCCCCAGGAGAACTGCCACCATCACCGAGAACAGGAGATGGGGACTTGACATCCGAAGCAGGGGACTTCAAAGAGCCACCAAAACGTGCTTTAGAACCTCCATTTGAGCCACCACCACCGCCACCAGAAGATTTCCTGCCACGAGCTTGACTGCCACTGGCACCCCCAACGCCACCAGGACCGCCAGCATCGTCGTTTCTACCGCCTCCACCCTCACCTCCGCGACCAGGAGGAGAACCGGCACCACCGAAATCAGCACCTGAAGTTGGAGCTAAATCCGATTTATTTTCTGCTGTACCAGTCACCAATGGGTCAGTCGAAGCTTCAACGGCAGTGATGGACACGACAGATCGTAAAGGCAGCGTCAGCGCAGTTTTGTCACATCCGCTCGGCGTGTACGATTTATTCGTATTCAACACTCCCGACGCCATGCAACCACCAACTGCGTTGTTCTCGAGATTACTCGCATCAACCCGGCCGGCACCGCACCACAGCACGCAGAGGGCACACACCAGCAGCACACGGCCAGTCATCACCATCGCCATCACTCCTGTCACTTGCCTGCAGCCTTCAGCACAAACCAACTTCCCGTCAACGCAGAGCGGAAGCAAAATGAGAGACACGGCCGCTACACCACGCACAGCCACCGCACAGTCACAAATGGCAGCAGCCCAGCAGCGGCAGCGCACACACACCATGAGGCAGTTGAAATCAGTGAAAGGGCAAAAACACACAACGCCCCGCAGCAAGCAAACAGAAAACACACAAAACAATTAGAAACAAAACACAGCTAAACAAACAGCAATGAAGTAAGAAATGTGAAAACAAACAAAACAAAGGGCTGCACAGTATGGCTCCAGCGCGCACGCACCCATCCTCAAATGCGACTCCACGCAAACAGTTGTGTGCGTGCCATGCATATGAGTGTGTCTGGGATGCGTTCAACGTGACGGATGCGGGGAGCGACAAGGAGCACACAGCAGGGCAGCGGAAGCAAGTGAAGCAAAACACAATCATTAGTTTATCCTGTTTAGTACATCGGACCACAGCAGACGCACACAAGTCCCCGCGGTTGAGTGCTGGCACGCACAGCCCGCATACACCTCTTCAGCCCAGAGTGGTGTACGCCAGCGCGGATACGGCGAGCAGCAGCGGGGCACACACCCACGCAGAGCTGCTGAGGCTGCCGTCGATTTCGCGAAGACGTGACGGTGCGCGGGTGGTCGTTGTGGTTGGCGCCTCCGTAGTCGTAGTGGTGGTGGTAGTTGGTGCTTTTGTCGTAGTAGTGGTTGTTGTTGTTGGCGCATGTTCCTTCTGACTTTGTGCCGGTACAGAAGCGGTCACGGAACTTGACGATGTAGCTGGGTTAACCGACCCCACCTGACGACCCTGACCCACCGGTGCCCAGACCTGGTTCCTGTTTTGGAATAGACTCCGGACTTTCTGTATCTGGACTCCCTGGCACACCGGTTCCCGCACTTGGTCCTTGTGATGTGGGGTTCACACTTTGTGTCTGTCCAGTACTGGCCTGTGTCAGCGACCCTGTCCCACCGGGTCCTGGAACATCTGTTCCCTGTGACTGAGCAGCCGTTGAAACATTGACCTTATCTTGATCTTCACCAGTTGCTGCCACGCACACGGACGGGCAGCAGCACAGGGCAAGCACCAACAGGGCGCACAGCAGACGGCACGTCGTCATCGTGAGTGTGGTCGTTCGGTGGTGTGGAGCTGATCTGCACAGTGAGGGACATGGAGAGCAACAGGGGAGACGAGAGGTGCGGCAGACACACACAGAGGGCAAACCACATGAGGAGAGAGCAGCAGCCAGGCATGCACCGTACGCCGCACACCACGCACAACACACACTCCAATCCAAGGCAACAGGCACACACACACACAGCCCTGCCACAACACCAACACACAGATGGAAGAGGGAGAAGCAAACAGGAGCGGCACACAAGGCTCCACCGCATGTAAATACGGCGAGAGCGGTCCGTCGTGTCTGCACCCCTCACGGAGGATACACACACACACGAGAATAGGTGCAGCGCCCACAGCAACACAACAGCAAAGAAACCATCGAAAAAGGAGAGATCACCGCACACCACGTGGATTGTTGGTCCACGGGAAGCGCAGCCACCACCGCAGCAGCAGCCGCACACGCAAAGTCAAGCGCAAGGAATGGAATAAAGCAGCCATTTATTCGTGTTTCTTTTTGGAGGGTGGAAGGTGTCTGCATATGTTGTTATTGTTTTTGCGGAGGGCAAACCTTCATGCCTGCATCGTGTGTTGGGGGTTCCTGCAGTGTGCACAACTGTTTCCTTTTTTTGTGAATTTTTATTGTTGGTGCAGCCAATAATTCAATTTGTGTTGTTCCTGCTTTTCGCTGGTAAAGTGCTGCAATAGATGTTTTTATTTCCTCCTTCGTTGCTGTGGCACCTGATTCCTCACCGTTTATTGCGGTGGAAATGAGAATATGTGAGTGGACTCCCACGCACCAGAACGCACCTTCGCTCCTATTTATTGGTGCACAGAAGGGCATGTGTGTTTGGTGGTGCCTCGACCATATATTCTTGTGGGCGTACATTCCCCTGCAGGCTGAGGGCGGGGTGACGCTCCGTCGCGGTGCACTTCCCTCGCATGCCGCCCACTGTGATTCATCATGCATCACCCCCCCACATATTCCGTGGTGCCACACCGTTGATATTATTGCAGCCACTGTGATTCCGCGTATTTCACGCATTTCATTCTGCCACAATACATCCGCTCGTGTGGCCGCCGCATCCAAACAGCGGTGCCCAACACCGTGAGCGGCAGTCCACATCCTTGCATGCCCCAACGCAGTGGTGCTTGACTGTCAGCCAGGCGCCAGACAACAGGAAAGTATTGTGCCGGCAGTACAACACACGGAGCTGCAGTGAATGACTCGGGCGGCGACGCATCCATTTGTCGCAAGGCAGTGAAAAGGAGTCGGGCAAAATAATGCCGGCTGCATGCACGACACCATATCCACAGCCAAGGCATGCGACGTGATGTGTGTTTCATTGGTGCTGTGAAATGCCTGCAGACGACGTCACTAGTGGAGGCACACCACCCATGATCAGCGGACAGACAATAATCGGCATGGGAGACCACAAAAGGCAGCAACGACGCCAGCGGCAGCAGCAGCTCTCTCTCTCTCTCTGTTGCCTCCGAGAAGTAATTATTCCACCAGCCACAGCCCACTGTGCCATCGTGACACTCCATGCACGTCGTGGCTGCGTCAACACATCCTGCTCCCTGCAGCACCTCAAAAGATGCCTCACTCCGTCCACTAAGTGCATCGATGCGGGCCGTGCCTGGGCTGCTCGTCAGGACCACAGCGATGTGAGGGTCACCGAGTCGCAGCATGTTTGTTGTGACGCTGTTGCATGGCACCTGCACACACACGCAGCGCCTGCATCCTTCCCTTTTGTGTTCGCCCTCTGCCGGAGTGGCCACACACACGGGCAGCAGCAAATTCATTTCACCCTCGACGATCCAAAATCAACACCGACATCCCTCGCGACGCAAAGATCTCAGCTGCCAGCACGGGCCTCCTGCCGCTCTGCCATCGACGCCGAAACACGGCACAGTGCACGCACTTATTTTCCTCGTGTTCCGTCAGCCGTTTGCTTCACACATTCTCCGACGGGCTGACGCCCACAAAAGCACGCCACAAAAGCCACTGTGATCACACAAGCTCTTGCGATGAGCGTCTGTGTGTGCATGGATCCGCTGCTCACACGTGCTGGCAGGCAGCCTGCAGCCGGTGCCCTCGTGCCAGTTCATCGGCTCCAGCATGGGAAAGAGAAAATGGCCAATTCCTCGTGTACTTATTCCCACCGGCAGTGCCAACACGCTGGTCGCCAGCCGTCATTCCTCAGCACATCCAGGAATGCTGAAAAGTGACGTGGAACCGTCAGCCAGCAATGCCACAATCCCCGCACACATGTCGGCTCCACCAGAGAAGACACACAAACTACAAACAACACCCCTCACATGTTTTCCGAACATCATTCCAACACACCGCGACACGCCAAACAGAAGTATTCGTCACTCCATGCACCTCCCCACACAATCACATAGTCCATGCACCACGCACGGCAGCAGCTCACACCCGTCTAAACAAGTGTTCCTCGGACCAGTGTTATCCACGTGCTGCGGTGGGAAGTAAACAAAAGAGACGGGCCGCCAAACCCCAAAAGAGTGCCACGACTGGCCGCAAGTCAACGGAACGCTGCCACTCAAAACAATTCAGTCCTCATGCCCTCAACCTCCCACCTTCTCCCACAAAAGCCCCAAGTGCTGCCAATCAAGCGCGCCGTCCAACGAAGTCGCTGTGCAACACCAGGAGGAATCGCAGTGCCTCCTGCTGCCATCCGGGTCCGTTGTGGACGCCATGATGAGTAGAAACGCCCATTGGTGCTTCGAAACGACGCTGCACACCTGCGACGCATCATGCGGTTTGAGACGCACGTGCCTCACCATCACCACAGACGCCCACGCGCCGTCGGTACGCCCTACATCGTCAAGGAAGCAAAGGATACGTCAGGGTGGCAGCAAAGCACTCGCTGGCAATTCACGTCGCAGGCATCACCACAAGCAGCTCCAGCAGCGCTGCAGACCGTGGGGTGCCGTGGATCAACTCACGCATGGCGTATGTGGAAAAGAAAAGGACGTGGTGGCTTTACAAGGATACGAGTGGCTGACACTTTTGGAAGGAGAAAGAAAACAATGTGGGAACACACAAAGAGGAATCAGGCGTCCGCAGTCAAAGCAAACCAGCAATCAAAAAAAGTAGGATGGGTGCACTCAACCACAACACAGGCAGAGAATAAAAAATACCAACAACAAAAGCCGAAGCGTGGGGGCGTCCACCCAGCAGTGGGGACGCGCAGCAACAGGTGGGACGACCAGCGCACACACTCTCATTGCTCCCGTAAAGCAAAACACACACACAGGGAGAGAGAGAGGTCGCCCACTCAATGCAATGGAAACAAAACAAAAACAGTTACGGTGCTCCGCCCATGCAGCCAGGCAGGACGGCAGCGGTGCGTGTCGTGCAAAAGAGAGCACCAACGGGCCTGCATGGGTGTGCATGCATATATACAATGGGCACATTATGTGTGTGCTTCGTGGGATGAGGTGAGGGCGAGAGTCCATGCAAGGGGAGACACAGAGAGAGAAGGACGAGTGTGTGTGCGGGCGGTGCACGGCTCTCTCTCCCTCACTCTCACGCAGCCACCACCGCAGCAGCAGCCGCACACGCAACAACAAGAAGCAAAAGAGGGGAGGTGGTGTGGGAGACCGCGGTGCTGCCGTCACTGTCGCCAGGCGTTGCCGTACCATCTGTTCTGGCGGTAGCTGCTGCTTTCGCTGTCCGTGGGTTTGTCTCACTGGCTGTGGGCGCAACGTTGGTATGACTGGCTTCGGGGTCGTTGTGTGGCCCTCTGGGGTTGGGCCCTTTGCTGTTGTCGTCATTCCCATCCGCCTTACTCTGGCCATCACCACTGCCACTTGTAGAGTTGGATGATGCCGTTACTTCCGCCGGGCTGCCGGTAGGTCCACCCTTCAGATCCGGTAAAACAGTGCCTTGACCCTGTTGCTCTGCCACACCATCTCCAGAAGTAGGCTCCGTCTCTTCAGGCTCCTTTT